TATATATCTTGGCATGTTGGTATATACTATATTCCTGGCATATTTACCAAAATCTATCACTCTAACAGGTCTTGGAGGTCCATTGGGTTGTGAGAAATCGAGGCTTCCACATTTTCTCTAGACAATCAGCTCACAAATGACGGTGAGGTTGTCAGCCTTACACGCCGGCCACCCGTCACCCCCAGGAAGATTCCTGGTATTCATTTCTGTTAGAGGCTGAGTCGAACTCAGGGCCATAGTGCGGCTGGAAGGATTAAGTCAATTGAAAAATCAACTGACCACATCGGGAATATAAGTCGCGACCTTCCGACTTGTAGTGAAGTCCCTCAACCAATTACGCTACAGCGCGCCCCTCATGTTCATCGAAACTGAGGCTGTAGCTACCACAGCTTTCTTTTTTTCCTTTTTACAGCCATGAAAACAGAAATCAAATTACTGAACAGGTTATGAGGTTTGTGGTCTTAACTGTGATAACGATCTAGATTTCCATTCGGGAGGTTTTTTGTTCGAATCTCGACCGAGACACTGGATACCTCGACTGAGGGTTTTCGTGCCTTTTGTCAGTCCCTCGAGGCGAATGCCAGGATAGTACCTCGATTAATCCACGACCAGTTCCTCCCGTATCACTTCCAAATTACTGTTCACTATCATCCCACCATTCGACACTACGGGCTTACAGTCTGGACTATTGTAGGGGGGGGGAGTGTATAAAGCGCAAAGGCGTAAATGATATTGGTACAATAAGTAAACCGCTACATTTTGGTAAGTATTTAGAGAATCAAAACCTTAGAACTACATATATACCGCACGCTTACTAACATTCTCGAGAGCTCATATGATTCGGACTGCCGACGAAGCCATCGAGGTCGGCGGCCCTGACCTATCGTGACCCGATGCGACCTGACCTCGTTCGTCCGGCGACCCAATAGCGGCGCGGAGTCGCCCGGTCTGCAGCCGTTGCGATCAATATGCACACGTTAAGTTCGTGGTCATCATGCACAGGAATGCATGGCAACCACGCGAACACGACTGTACTGCACGTAGCCTACAGTGGATAGTTCACTGCAGGAAGAGTGGAATCCTCCAACAGGACACGAAATTGTCTTGCTGTTTAGCTCAGAGGCAACGAATTTTCGAGACAATGAAACAATAACGGAATTTCCTGCCTTGCACGCCACACATGGGCAGTCCTGACCGAAATCTGTTGACGATTGGCACTTGCTGGAGCCCACTCTCCAGCTCTACCATTTCCACAATCCCCACCCTTCACAGGGGCCCCAGATCTTGAGGTGAGCCGTGATGTAACTACATTCGTCTTCTCTCAAAATGGCATCCGTGAGTGGTAAAAATGGTAACAATTTACAATATAATTTATTCACTGGGCGAATAATCCTTCTATACAAGGTCTGAAATGTTCCGTTCGGGAAAGCGCCCATTTTTCGGGAACACAAGGCATATAAATCACACTCCTCCCCCTCCCCCCATCTCTGTGTGTCGGATCAGACTGCAGTCACTTCAAGCGGCCCACAGTTGACCTCCCGTCCCCATGCAGAACACAAACCACGGTTCTCACAATGCCCAGTGCCGTAGGCAGCCTATCTGTATTGTGACATGGCACCTGACAGCCACAGTAATGATGCTACGAGAGATTGTCCGTAGCATGGAAACGGCTGGATAGCAACACGTGACAGGTGGTTTCTGCGACAAACAGCATGGGACGCCGGTAACGATTTGAGCAAAAGAGGGCATTGTTGAGACCCGTACTAGTAAACACGTAGAATACTTAGTGTGTGCCGTATTGAGAAGTCAAGTGCGTGAATTAGCGACAGCAAATCCAACTGCCAATCCAAACCCCATGTCTAATGACTGAACACGTGAGAATATTTACTATAAACGACGTTTCAGATATACGTAAGCCCTACGTAATAAAATTTTAGACATTTTCACGGCGGCGACTCTTCTTTGGTTGTGACACAGTGTAGTCTTGTACGCGGTTACTGACATTTCGGAGGAACATGTTCTCTATATATTGTGGCATGTAGACCCATTTCTAGGAAACCTGTTGACAAAACACAGATTCTTGAAAATCAACTGCTTACGGAACATGCTTCCTGGGATACGAAAATGAAAGAAGTAGATACTTTGACAGCAACTCGGTACGGAACAGGTTTCCGTGTAAACGAGTGATCAACCAGCATTTCCTTGGATACCGCCATGCTACGAGGGAAAGTCAGAAATTATCCGCACTTTCGCCGTAACACATCTTTAGATTTGTCACACTGCTTTCTGCGCATGCATGCTTGGTACTATAGTGATCAGGTGATCGAAGTTTGACCTTGACCGCGTCATTTTCCTCGATGCTGTGACAGTGTAAACATGGCCGCTCCGTTAGCAGTGTGCACCAAGGAGGACCAAAGAGCAGTGATCCGATTTCTCTCATTGGAAGGTGTGTCAGGGGCTGAAATTCTTCGGAGGCGTTCAACACAAACGGGCACAGTGCTCTATCGCGTAGAAGTGTGTATGAGTGGATCGAGAAGTTTAAAAGTGGCCGGACAAGAAATTCAAGACTCAATTTTCCGCGGGAAAGGTAATGCTAACCGGTTTTTGGGACTCAAAATGGCCTATACTGGAAGACTACCTGGAAAAATGGTGTACGATCAATAGTGCAAGATATAGTGATTTTTTGGCCAACAATCTGAAGCCAGCAATTCGCAACAAACGTCGAGGCCTATTGTCGAAGAAAGTGTTGTTGTTGCATGACAATGCACGCCCACACATGGCCGGCCAGACCGTTGAAACCATTACCATTTGTGTTTCGAGGTGCTGGAACACCCTGCCTACAGCCCACATCTCGCCCCCTTCCGACTATCATCTCTTTGGACCGCTCAAAGATGCTTTACGAGGTCGTCGATTTTCTACGGACAAAGACGCGGTGGGTAAATGGTTGCGCGATCAACCAAAAACCTTCTTCTTGGAGGGAATACGCAAGCTTGTGGACCGCTGGACCAAGTGCATAGAAAAGGAAGGAGACTATGTAGAAAAATGACGTACTTGTTCAACCCCTACATTTGTGTATATAAATTCGAAAAAAAACAAGAGTGTGGATAATTTTTTACTTCCTTACGTACATTAGCGGCCGTTCAGATAAGAACCAAGTCATAAAAATTGATATTACTTATACCACGTGGAGGTGGGGTCGTGTGCCTCCATCGTGGCCCTGCGAGTCGTGGAAGGCGAGGAAGGGGGAAGTCCTGAATCCGAGACGGTGGAGTGTGGTCGCGGGTCCCGCAAGACTCTGACCCCAGATTGACTGCGCTGGCGAGGACCGGCAGCGGTTGTGGACGGCGGACCCATCCTTTCGTCAGGGGGCGGCGCCCCGCATCGGCGGACCCGCGACTGTCTTTCAGTGGTGGAAGTCTGGCAGTGGGCCCCAGATGGATGCTTTATTCCCGGGCCACTGGCAGACTACCCGTCGGTCGTAATATGAGACTCGACTCGTCCAGTTCATGCCTACGCGGCAAGGGATACGAACACAAAAATGGAGGCACTGTTGGGGCGCCTCGAATTTATGCGTCAGGGGATAGCAGACTGGCCACCAAAGGTGTCGATGTAGGTTCGAATAACCTCCACCGTAGCCCTGTGGGTCATAAAGGCGACGAAAAGGGAACCCAGTGCCTGGGAGTATGACCCGGCCGCCCTGTTACCTGGGGGAGCCTCGAATCTGAGACTGTAAAATGTGGTTGAGTCCCGCGGGGCTGCCCTGGCGAGACCAGCAGCAATTATAAAGGACAGACACATCCTCTCGTCAGAGAGGATGCTATATAAGGACTATGACCGCAAGTGTTCAGTTGAAAATGAAAATTCTGGTCGTGAGTCTCAGGGGGCTTGACGTCAAGACGAACTCACTGGCGATAAGCTGCCAGTCGCAAAGTAACTCTGACTCTAACTCTGAACCCAGTCAGTTCTGTACGGGAGTCTGAAGCAAGAACAGTTCAGTCGGAAGGGAGCCGCCGTTCAGATAGAACTTGAGCAAGGAAGCAGAAGAAGGGCGTTGCGTTGACGGTTGGACTTCTATTATTAGTTGTACTTGAGCAACAGGATGCAAGCAATATAAATAATGTAATTACGAGATGTGTGTTAAAATGGTAAACAAATCGAGTATACAACCCGAAACCCGTCCGGACCGGAAATAGGGGCTAGCTCTATCTATTGGACCCAACTGCGTAGGTTTTACCTGAGGACGGAAACAGAATCCAGTCTCTGAAAAGTTGTGTTTTTAAAAAGAAACAGGACGGTTTATAGAAAAGAGACAAGACGATGGATAATGTCCAAAAACATAATACTTGGACTATTAAAGTATTTGCTTGGAGTGACTATGGAATACCACGAATGACAATGAGCTCAGTCTGTGTCTCGACCGACACTGGAGCCTCGCGGTGAAACAGGGTTCCATCGTCAAGGACATGAATATTTGTCAGGTACACGCCGTTGATGTGGACCAGGTCTCCCACGTGGCTCAATGTGCCAATGAGTTCACGGTTCCGAAGAATTGGAAGGAGTGAAATAAAGAGTACTGATAAAGGTGTGTAACCCATCACCATACAAATATAAATATTTGGAGCGGTTATTAAATATGTCCTCCAAGACATTAATAATTACATAAACAAACAACAGCCTTAAAAATTTCAATATTTTTTAATCATGCATCGGTATTGATGTTTCCGCCGCAACACTTCGCACGGTAGCCATATTGCAAATTTAGGTGACTGGATTTCGTAAATTACAAAGCGGCCGAGCTTCATGAAATTCTGTGAATTTTTGCCACAAATTGGTCCCTCTACTGAATAAGGGTGTGGATAACCACGTATAGTTTTGAAGAAGTAACTCCGTCCTATAGGACTCGCAGAATGTAAGAAAATGCCATACTTAGTTAACATATCCCAGTCTTTCAAAATATGGGCCGTTTTCTATAAAAATATCAAATGTGAGGAATGACGTACCGGTATATTGTTGGGATAGGAAAAGTTTCCTCCTCCTCGTTATTGTTGGTGTCATTATTGTTGGCATTGTTGTTGCCCAGACTGCAGAGGACGATCGAAGACATCGTTACAGTTCCCTGAAGCTTTGATCCCACTGTACAATTAATATTCACGGTTACCTAGACACAATGCCCATAAGAAAACTCCATTTTGAATTGTCTTGGCCGTCAATGTTCGTGTATGATCGGTAAAGTTCGTTACTTTTCGGCCGAAGTATATGCAGATAACTTCCGCTTGTAAACACAGCACCAGCTGTTAAACAACCAACAATGTTTCTTTATGAAATGTCATTTTTGAGCCGTTTTCATAAGGGTTCATAATATATTAAAACTAATTAGATATTATAAAACACTATGCTAGGAATCAAGCTTTCTTGATAAAAAGAGGGACGTCACACTGCCCAATTCACTAACTGTTTCTAAATAAAAAAAAGATATTGACTCTTTCATAGGCAATTATACTAAAAATCAACAATTGAAATTATTGTCCACTATAAGGTTCTGCAAGCACTATATCAGTAAGGTCTGATATTCAGCAGTGTCTGTGATATCTTGAAGTCTAATAGCACCTGTGATTATGAAGCATTTTCAATCTTATTGCGTATCATTTTGGTAATATACACATGTACTTCTGAAAAATCGAACAAAATACTATAAATTGCTTCCTACAATCATACATATAAAACACTACGTTATTTTATAAACAAAACTGTGTATTGCCAATAATTTATACTGCTTATGACGTCATAAACGGACAACTCGACACAAAGAACTGATCAACAGAAACGAAAGTGTGTACATCCAGTTCTCTTGTCGCGCGATCACACACCAACGAATATGGCCAACAGTCCATTTCAAAACCAAATTCCGTTGACTCACTAGCACCAGCTGTTGCTTGAATACGAAACCAAATATTAACACCAAAATCAGTCGCACAGAAACCAAAAATGGACACATACAAAATATAACTGGACGAATCTTTCCTCACATCGAAACTTCCAGGTTCCTTGCTTGGCTTGCGGACTCTTGCCCCATTTGAAGGCCGTTTCTACCCGCCCGCAATGAACCCAGCCATTGCACGCTTCCTACCGTGCCAGCCACCCGATGCTACTTGTTACCAGTACACGACAGCGGCACGGCCGGTCGCCTTCGCTGGAACTAGTCTTCACGTAGACGCCCGAAAGTATCCGAATATTGTCGATGCATGCCGCAACGTGAAATGATAAGAAAATGGAAGCCAGTGCTCGTGGTCATGGACTTCTGGGCCGCGGGTTTCTAACGTGTTTATTTGCTCTTCATCTTTTCGTCTTGTCACCATGTTCTTAAAGGCAAAATAAACAGCAACTCTACCAAGTAAAATGTCAATTTCCTAGTAAAAATTGAATTAATTCGAGATTTCCCTAGTTTTACCTTAAGCAATAACTGTGAGAAAACCAGTCTTTCAGCAAGGCGTACCGGCCAGCATTGCTAACAGTATAAATCAGTTTCTTTGTGTTTTTAATATCAATTTTGCCTCCCTGGAGGATAACTTTCCGTTCTACAATCTTAATCAAATCGTTATTGCACATGTTTTCATTGTCCTGACTCAAGATGCTGGCGGATTGACTGAGTTATTTTGGCCGAGTGGTAGCGTAATACGAGGGAGGGTCAGTAAAGAGGTCACAAATGGATATAAAACGTGAAACATGTGACGTTCGAACCTGGCAAAAACATTTATTTCTCGACATATCCTCCACCAACATTGATACACTTGTCCCATCGATTTACCAGTGCGACGAAATCGGGAACATACAAGTCTTTTGGCTGTTCTCTCAGCCACTTCCGCATCTGGTCGGGCTTCATCTGCGACTTTCGAACGTTCTCGAGTGAATTTCTCGGTCCAGCTGTGAACCGCTTTACGCGACAAACACTTCAGACCGTAAAGAGGAAACATTTCTTCATTAATATCCTTTGCATTGAGTTCTTTTGCCAACAAGAAAAAAAAGCACAACAGACCGCTACTCTTCGCCAGTAGTACACTCCTCAAGCGCGGTCGCCATCATGACTACTGAAACCAGCATCTAAGATACATACACATCTGCTACCTGGACCGTCATGAAACTGGACCGTGCTGCTACGTAGTGGTGCACATATAAAACCTATTACGTCCATTACAACTGTTTTACTTCCATTTGTGACCTATTTAGTGACTCTCCCTCTTAATTCAGCGATGATGAGTCATCAGTTCGCTAGCTGAGGGTGTATTCCAACCACAAAGAGCGAATACTCACTACAGAATATTGAGTGTTTATTGAACTGCGTATATAATCCGTACCAGAGCTAGTAGACGTGAGTACGGCCGAAAGCCTCTCAGCAACAACCAGACAAAATGCGTCGGTCAACTCCAGCCATCTGGTTCTTATATACATTCTTATCTAAAGTTACAGCCCAATATCACGAGACCATGAACCCCCTAGACTAGAGAATAACATGTGCACCAAAGTTAAGGAAAGGAAAGTGATTAGTTACTTCAAGACGTTGAAATAACTCCAGAAATTCACTGACTTATGAAATGACAAGGATAGATATTACATTTTTAAGTGGAAGCAGGCTAACCTCTTGAAACGCTATAGGAATTAATGGAGGACATGAAACAAGACATCACACTCAAATATCACAAAACTATAGGATGGAACAAGTTTTTGCGGTATTTTTTACTTGTGTATACGAGAAAGTACTGCCACGTATATGTCTGACTATTAGACAGGGTACGGATTGGATGATTGGATTTACTGACACCTTATAGACATTACTCGGAACTACAGGCAATTACAGCGCTATCGCTAATCTCCGCACTTTACAGTTCACTGTTGCAAACACTTGTGTCCTCAGTCTATTACAGTCTCCACTAGCCGTCTCCTGGCAATGGATTTTAACACAGGAACTATAACAGTATCACTGATTTACACACTCCCAATACTGTGGTACCACATAACATATAAAGTCTTCTCTTTGCAGCTAGACTCTCGGCTCCACTGAACTGCACTCAGTTCCTAAGCTCTCAAGCTCACATCTTGGCAGGCTGGCGTCTCGAAACTCAACTGAATCTCAGGTGCCACCTCTTTTCAGTCATTTTCGACTGCAGCCTCGAGGCAACCCCCACAGAAAACACCGTTTCTGTGGTTGTCCCAACAATTCCTCTATTGTTGTAGAGGCATACCTACCTAGCTGCTGCATATAAACGGCAGTTCTTCTATTGTTGCTTGTATATTCGTTTGCCGCGGAAATGTGTGTACCTAGACTTCGCCTAGCAACGGACATCTGCTCTGGCTCCACTATTCCGGCTTTTAGGCGTCGTGTCACAGTATTATAATAATTACCAGTTTCCCGAACATTCTCGAAAGCTGGGATCGTGGGTTCGAATCCCACTCAAGGCATGGATATCCGTGTGTGCGTTTATTCTTTGCTTGTGTTGTTCTGTGGGTAAGTAGAGGCCTTGCGAACCCCGCACAAGGAGTCCCACTGACTATGTAAAAAAGACTATGAAACTGAAGAAGAGGCAGGGCCCAAACAACGGGCTTTAGTGGCACTGATGAATGAATGAACCAAGATGAAATGTTAAGGAATTTGTACCAAAGGAACGTGAACCGTGTACTACTGGCTCAATGCAACGTTCGACAAAATATCTTCCATAAAATGACTTCCCCCCCCCCAAGAGGTTACAGAGATTCAGATATATTGATCAGTGGGCAATTACGTTGCGGGAGAAGTCGCTACTTCACTAAGTAGCTACAAACGCGCAACGAGCAGCGGCGCCTATGCACTACTGCCCACTACGAAGCAGATTGCTGCTGGAAAGATACGAGTGCGTGCAGGCAGCGCAATCACTAACTCCGTAGCCTGTAGTCCGCAAGCGAACTATACCGAACGAGGGACCACCGCTTGTCGGCGAAATTAGTGCCAACTTTTACGGATAGAGGGTGTCACGTGGTCAGCGTAACGCATCCCCACGGCCATTAATATCGGTTTTCTAGACAGGACGTACGAAGCAAGTCGCATGAAGTCTGACCACCCGTTTATGACTGTCTGCCCTCGTTAGCACTGATGTCGCGAAATCCTACAACTTCTTTCAGTCACTTCAAGCAGTAAGCGAATTGACGGGCTTCACATTTTATGAAGGTCGTTTTGCGTGAGAATGGAGATCGGTGAAACATACGTTATGCTTCCGTACCTACTAGAACAAGGGTCTCAAAACTACGGCCCGCGAAAGAATTGTGCAGAAATGCGCCAATTGAACTAATTTTCCAATGAGCACTGGTAAAAAAATACTTGTTCATAGATTTCAAATTCATTTTTAAGATGGTGTTTAAAATATACTGATATTTCATATTATGTTAATATTAATATTATTCACAATTTTACTAATTCTGGACCGTATACTACGCGATATTTATTCGTACTTGTTCGGTCTCGATCGGCAGTGTCACTTCTTGGCAATGTAGGTAGCGCGAGCAGTTCGTTACCAGCCGTCTTGTGCAGAAGACATCTTTCAGTGGTGCACTGTAATTCTAACAGATCATCACCACCGCCGGTGTCGTACTTACTACCATTTTTGTATTAAAGGCAACTTATGCCCAGTTTCCCTCAGAGCAAAGTTGATACTTCTGGAAAGCCAAGTGAAAAATTGTAACTTTGTTCATATGCTATACTGTGCAGAGTTGCATAAAGAGGGTGAAGCTGAATTTTCTTCCTCGTTTGAAAATTTAGTCATTTCAGATTT